ACCGTTCTCCCTTCATCTTAATGCTCAATACACATCACTCACACTCTATAACAGTCACCCTTTTAAAACAAAGCAAAACAGTCCACACATTAAAAATACAGTGACAAACACAGCAAAACAATTCTAAAAACACGACTAATTAAAAACACATGACAAATTAAAAGTCCAAAGCAGAATGGATATGACGGAAAACGTGCTAGACAGATTTTATAAAGTGCAGATCTAAAAACCCTGATTGCAGTGTTAGCCAAATAAAATAAGTGCATGTTCATCTCCTTCAAGTGATGTTTAGCACTTGTCTAACACCTCGCTCCATTGAGGCACCAATGATCTTTTCTGCTGCTCTCACTACTCTCTGCAGGAATTTTCTGTCTGCAGTAGTGCAGCTGCCGTACCAGACAGTGGTGCAGTATGTCAGGATGCTTTCTATTGTCCCACTGTAGAAAGTTGTCATAATCTGTGGATGGGATTTGCCCTTTTTCAATCTCCACAGGAAGTCAAGGCACTGCTGGGCTTTCTTGATGAGAGCAGTGGTGTTGATGGACCAGGTTGTGTTGTCAACAATGTGCACCCCAAGGAACTTTGTGCTGTTAACCCTCTCAACAGCAGTTCTATTGATGGCCAGTGGTGGGTGTTCACCGTTTCCTCTCCTGAAGTCCAAGACCATCTCCTTGGTTTTCGTCACATTTAAAGAGAGACTGTTGTTATCACACCACCTGTTTTCTATACAGTGTGTTGTCATAGTTGGTAAGAAGACTCACTAGTGTAGTATCATCTGCAAATTTAATGATATGATTGGAGCTGAACCTGGCAGTGCATTCATATGTCATCAGTGTGAACAGGAGTGGGCTGAGCACACAGCCCTGAGGGGAGCCTGTGCTCAGTGTGATGTTACTAGAAGCTCTCTTTTTTATTCCCACTGACTGTGGTCTGCCTGTGAGAAAGACCAGGATCCAAACCCAGTGTGCCCAGCTTCTCTATGAGTTGTTGTGGAATAATTATATTGAAATTCCAAATCTGAACTGCGCATTGTGCAGAGCTGCATGTCCCGCACGCCATTTTGGTTGCTCCGACTCTGCTCTGACTGTAGTTGCATGCTAATTGGTCCACTAGCAGGTACTCACATCTACAAAAGCGTCAGAGCAAATTTGTAAACTGGCATTACTTGGGTAGACTGACCACCTATTCCCAATTTAAATGGTTACCCCTGTAAAGCCTGACACATCAAAAAAATTGCCAGAACATTCTAATATTTTGGAACTGAGATGTTTATTAAACCTTTTAACAAAATCCAAAAGAAAATTCAAGATTCAGGATTTTTATTTGCCATTTATGCATAGACAGATGGTCCAGGCACATAGGAATAAATGTGCCATATTATTTAAATTATTATTATGTTTTTCTTTGGTATCACATTTGATACATGGGGGCATTTTGGCAACTTTTGTTTGCTCAGAAACTCACATAGCAAATATGATACAAGTGGTTTTATAGGGTTACATTCTCACCTGAAAAATATCAACACTTATAAAGTGGCATAATAACAGTCCTAGGACAAAAATTACAACAGCTTTGAGCCTGGCTCAAAATCTCTGCTATTTCCATTTCCTGACATCCTCTACATTTTCTGTACTTTGCTGTTTGAGCACCCCCTGGTCAGAATGTTATAACAGCTATGCAACTGCCTCCAAAAGACAGATGCATATGTTCCCGTATGTGCAGTGATGCAGAGGTATAAATCTGGCTTGAGAGTTTTATGGTGAATCCCTTAGCCTACATTTAGTCGCTGCAGATACAAATGCCTCAGTTTATTAGAAATAAAATGGAAGCTGTTAATATACTACTAGTTTTAGATGAGAACATGCAAGTTTGAGAAATCATTATGCTCTGCTGAAGCAATATATACAATTTAATTACCTATACATGACAAAATATAAAACCAATTAAAAGAACCAACTCAAATTTTAATATACTGTAAGGAAAAATAACATAAACTCAGCTAATATTTCAAAGGCAAATGAAGCCAGAATATATGGCATTTCACTAGTCAGGAACATGTCTACATGGAACTTTGTGCTGATGCTGTTTGATGACTGTTAGATCGTGGCACTCGGGCATGGCGGATCCCCCATAAGAAGCAGGAAAAACAGTAGGAAGGAAGAAGAGAGCCACAGAAGGGTAGAAAGGATAGAGAAGCACAAAATAAACGGAAAGGGCATGTCAGATTTACGAGAAACGAAAGCACTCTGCAGGTGGGGAGCGGATGTACTTATAGGCCAGTAGCAGGGGAAGGGGTGTGTTAGGAGTGTGGTCCTGTTCCTGAACCTCCCATGTTCACCTTCATTAAATTTGAAGTTACTGGAAATTTGCCATTTGAATGCTAAAACCCTATATTAAATGATTCCATGGACAGCTCACATTGCTGAAGCTAGTCTTTGCATTTAAAGCTGCTTTATAAGAGATTGTAGAACAGTTTCATTTTCATAGTTTCACAGCTTTATGATTATCACTGAGAAGTATCCTATAAGTCTATTGAAGAAAACCTCACCATTCATGCACCAACATCACTTATAGACTAAATCAGTGGAAATATTATGGAGCACAATGTAGAACAAGTGAGATTGGTAACACAGCAGGAAAGTCCCATTACTGGGAGGCTTCCCAGCACAGCTAATGCAGTCCCAGTGATAAGCAGTCAGCCAGGCATATGAATGCTGATCATGGTTTCAACGAAAATGTAATGCACCTCATTCAGAATAAACAAATCAATCCTCAAAGCATTCCCAGAATCACATACTTTTGCTGAGTAGATGTCTTGGACTGAAATCAACAATATGCAGATGCTTGATCTGACCCTCTTCCAAATATTTACTACAGTTTTGATTGTTTATAGAATGTAACTCAATTAGACCAGAGGCCAGGATGTATTTGTCCTCTGATGAGCTACCAAAGAACTGAAAGTGAGTGAGCAGAGGAAATGTCCAGCAATGGGGCTGTAGGGGATTTCCTATGTGGTTTGAACTTGAATTTTCCATGTTAGTCAAGCTTTCGTTTTTGTTCTTACAGTGGTGTGAAAAAGTGTTTGCCCCCTTACTGATTTCTTATCTTTTTGCATGTTTGTCACACTGTAATGTTTCAGATCGTCAAACAAATTTATATATTAGTCAAAGATAACACAAGTAAACACATCATGCAGTTTTTAAATGAAGGTTTTTATTATTAAGGGAAAACAAAATCCAAAACTATAGAGCCCTGTGTGAACAAGTGTTTGCCCCCCTGTCAAAACACTGGTTTATCGCACCTGAGTTCAATTTCTCTTGCCACACCTGTTCGCAATCAAGAAATCACTTAAATAGGACCTGCCTGACAAAGTGAAGTAGACCAAAAGATCCTCAAAAGCTAGACATCATGCCGAGATCCAAAGAAATTCAAAAACAAATGAGAAAGAGAATAATGGAGCTCTATCAGTCCGGAAAAGGTTATAAAGCCATTTCTAAAGCTTGGGGACTGCAGCGAACCACAGTGAGAGCCATTATCCACAAATGGCGAAAACATGGAACAGTGGAGAACCTTCCCAGGAGTGGCCAGCCGACCAAAATTACCCCAAGAGCGCAGCGACAACTCATCCAAGAGGTCACAAAAGACCCCACAACAACATCCAAAGAACTGCAGGCCTCACTTGCCTCAGTTAAGCTGAGTGTTCATGACTCCACCATAAGAAAGAGACTGGGCAAAAATGGTTTGCATGGCAGAGTTCCAAGACGAAAACCACTGCTGAGCAAAAAGAACATAAAGGCTCGTCTCAGTTTTGCCAGAAAACATCTTGATGATCCCCAAGACTTTTGGGATAATACTCTGTGGACAGACGAGACAAAAGTTGAACTTTTTGGAAGGTGTGTGTCCCATTATGTGTGGCGTAAAAGTAACACCGCATTTCAGAAAAAGAACATCATACCAACAGTAAAATATGGTGGTGGTAGTGGGATGGTCTGGGGCTGTTTTGCTGCTTCAGGCCCTGGAAGACTTGCTGTGATAAATGGAACCATGAATTCTGCTGTGTACCAAAATATCCTGAAGGAGAATGTCCGGCCATCCGTTTGTGACCTCAAGCTGAAGCGAACTTGGGTTCTGCAGCAGGACAATGATCCAAAGCACACCAGCAAGTCCACTTCTGAATGGCTGAAGAAAAACAAAATGAAGACTTTGGAGTGGCCTAGTCAAAGTCCTGACCTGAATCCAATTGAGATGCTGTGGCATGACCTTAAAAAGGCAGTTCATGCCCGAAAACCCTCCAATGTGGCTGACTTACAACAATTCTGCAAAGATGAGTGGGCCAAAATTCCTCCACAGCGCTGTAAAAGACTCATGGCAAGTTATCGAAAACGCTTGATTGCAGTTGTTGCTGCTAAGGGTGGCCCAACCAGTTATTAGGTTTAGGGGGCAAACACTTGTTCACACAGGGCTATATGTCTGGCAACCGTATCTGGGCCGAGTTAGTTCCTCCGGTTTGCCGGAACAGGGCCATCATCGGGCCGCACTATTTTGGCTACCTGGGAAACATGCAAAAAGATAAGAAATCAGTAAGGGGGCAAACACTTTTTCACACCACTGTATTTTGGTAATTACACTTTATGAAACAGAGTATTGGTTGTGTGTACCAAATCTCTGTATAAATGTCTAGCGTTATGTGTATGGGTCATCACTTCTACCTAACCATCCATCCATTCCACTCCCTTCCTCCACACTACGTAACAACCTTCAGGTATGTACAGTATGTGTCCTGGTGCTGCTCATGTTGTGGACACCTCATTGGTTTACACAATCACACCGTGGAAGCTCGACGCCCTTATGGTGACAAGTTAGTCCCCAGAAAGTAAGTCATTAGATTTTACAGTGATGACTTGCTGTGCGGGAGGGAGGGCGTGCGTGTGTGCACTCTTCATACTGTACATTGCCCACAACCCTTCCTTATCGGAGCTGGTCCCGGTGGGCGTGGGAAAACGTCCCTCGTGCTGCGCACAGTGGGCTGAGCTGAGAGGAAATGGGCGTGTGTCAGTTCAAAGTACCGTCAAGTACATTCCAGGACCAGCATGTCAGTGTTCTGGTCCAAGAGCCGAGTGAAGTAAGAACAGCGTTTCCAAAAGTGTTCACACGCTGAGGGGGAGCCAGTCAAGACGAAGCAGAGGTTTCACCGCGGACCCGAGGAACAGACCACGCACAAAGTAAGTCACGGCTGCTCCAAGTTTCTCTTTATAGATATCAGGTGACTTAAAAGGTCTGTTTTATTATTAAAGGCTTATATGATCATTCTACACAGAGGGGGAAGTGGGAATCCCAAAGGGAGAAACGAAACATTTAAAATATGTCACAATGCAAAATCTGATATGAGTCATCTAACCTTTATTGAACTTGATCATCCTTCTGTGACATTGCTGAACTTTTGTTTTATTTATGAAATACAACAGATGTCCAGTCAGTCACCTCTAAAAATACACAGGCCCTTAGTTGGGTCATGCCTTTAGCCTCATTGACTTTTTTGGCCTGACCCTTCTCTCTGGTCAGAGATGTGCAATGCATAGGATTTAAAACAATTCTTGTTTTATTTTCTGCATGTGTTGGCATTCCATACCAGCCATTAGATTTTTAAAAATGTAAACAATAAATGAATTTGACCTGTGACCAGCTTCACCACACCCATTTAAAGCTGGTGTTGTTTGGGAACAGTCACTTAAATTTGCTAGAGTGCTTATCTCAGGGGCCAGGGGGCATACCAGCCATGCCAGCGTGCCAACACAAACCAGCCGAACAGAGGTACAGAGCAGCAGTGAGAGAGGCCATAGTACAATGGAAGAAGTGACACATGGAGTAGTGATAGGCAGAGGGAGAAGAGGATGAGGAACACTTCATTTCAAGCTTGACTGATGGCTGTGTTATAAATCCATTTAAATTTGTGCATTAAGTGAGAGGAAAGAGCAAGGAGGCCAAAAAATGAGGCTTGTGGAAAGGCTTTTCATGGTTTTGAGCTGAGTAATTGGCCAATTTCAGGGCACCTAGGGTGCATTTGTGAGATAACAGAGCTTTTTAAAAGACTGTAAAGGCATACATTACTCATGAAGAAGCCTGAAAAGCCTTTGTTCAGTTGGTATATTTCTTTATACATTTTTTCATATAGCCAAATGTTTAGTCACCTCTGATCTGCGAGTGAGCAGAAAAAAGCATAAAAGTTTAATTTTACACAGTGTTGTTAAATTGATACTGTGTAAACTGAACTCTATTATGTTTCACTTAGTTTCGATCTACATGTAGGTTTTGTTAAAAAAAAAAAACAAAATTAGCGAGTGAAGGAAAGCACAGAACAGACCAGAGGCTCTGACTTTGGGGTGATGTGGCAGAATGTGTAGGTTTTGGGTGGAAATTGTGTAGCAATACAGTTTACTCAGTCTCAGTGATTGTGAATGTTTTTGCCAGATATCCAGATGATGTGGTAACACTTGTCATCTGACCAGCAGATGAACTCAGGAGGTCACAGAGTTGAAAATCACAAATCAGCATCATATCTGTTTCTCAAACATGTTGGTAAAGCTGTCTTTGTGAGGACTTTTGTTGATATAATTCATTCCCTAGCACCTTACCTTAGTCTTAACTATCACAACTAAATACTTATAACTAACACTAACTTAAACCTAATTCTAACCTTACGGCTAAAACCAAGTCTTAACCCTCAAAGAGGCTGTGCCAGAAAGTGATGACTGGCCAAAATGTTCTCATTTTCCATGCTATGAAACATCAACTATTCCTCACCATGTATAGCTCTACTAGTTCACTGCTTGCCAAAACTGTGTTTAGGTAACAGTTTGGCATGTGACACTTGACTGTGAGTTGAAGCTGGGGACGGCAGGAAGGACAAACATGACAAATGATCTAATTCCACTGTGACTGTTAGTGAACTGTATGAGGGTGGGGATGTCACATAGTTCTATGATCCAAGTAATGTACACGCACAGTTTATGTGCATGCACAGAAACTATTGCACTATCAGCTGGGGTGAGGCAGATGGAATCCAGCTGCTTTTATATCCTTCAGGGAGTGGTTCTGATGATGGCAAAAGGCTAAATACTCAAAAGCCTGCCGACCGAGGAATGAAATGTGCTGTAGCACAACTGCTTCTACAATAGAACTTACACTGTGGACACAAAGTCTGAGGCCATCATCTACGTGTTTCTGTCTGCTGTACCCGCAATATTGTTGAGCTGGTGGCTGGTGGTTTGCACAGTGGGCCTTCAGTGTTACACAGAAAGATCCTCCTAAGTGTGTTTTTGTTTGATATTCTGTGTTCATGCCAAGACAATTGAGATGAATGAAATTTTGTTTGTGGTACTCTCTCTCTCTCACACACACCCATATACACATGTACATAGACACATACTGTACATATATGAATTCAGAAACATCACATTCTGGATTTTTCAAAAGACAAATAACCAGCAATTGTCCTCCAAGGTCGAAATTTCCTAGAGGATTCACTTCATAGAGTAATTTTTACACATTATTTTCCTGTTAGTGTTTGTTTAACCCTTCAAGTTGATCATTTACTTTCATCACTTTATGTAAAAGAATGTGATTGAACAGGTTTATCTGTGTAACAAATCCTTAAATTCCTGATATTTTTTTCCAGAATGCCAGGTGAACGGCTGACAGTAAGAGGCACGTCAGATGTTGGGCGTTTCCCTGGATCAGCCCCACCCATCAGGGTGGAGCTGACCATTCAGAAGGAGGAGGAGAAGAAACAAGAGGAGGGAGGCTGTCTTGGCTGGTTCAGGAAGATGTGCCCATGCTGCTGTAAACGCCAGAATAGCACCTCCTATGACATTACAGATAAGGTAGAATTTATAAAATCCCCAGAGCCAGAGCTCATCAAGCCAAAGCCTGAGAATGGAGAAGCAAAGGAAATGGAAGGTAATGTGATTGCCTTTTGGGATAGATCTCAAATAATTAGCAGCAAGCAATACAGGCACTTGCTTACAGTTGATATTCAACCTTCCTCTCTCAGAAATGAGGTTGTCCCTGTGTTCAGTGGACCTACTGAGCTCCAAGACAGGTCGGAACAGACTGGAGCACCACACAGACCTGTACCACGGAGATGATCTGATCATCCGCAGAGGACAGACCTTCCAGATAGAGCTAGAGCTCAACAGGCCCTTCTGTGCTGACACTGACAAGCTGCTTTTGGACTTGAAAACGGGTATGAAACTAACACACGGACAGTGTCATCATATGTTCCAACAAAATTAGTCATTGATATCATAAATAAAGATTGTCATTATGATTATTAGCAGCAGTAGAAGTGTTTGAGGATCGGGTACACTACTGAGGTGAGAAGCTGCCCTAAGGAGTGCATACTATAGTGATTAAAGAACATATAGCATATCATAGTAAGTGGTATCAAATTGCTTTATGAACAAAAATGCACTCAGGTTGCTAACGGAAGCATCTTAAGCTCATATCCTGTAACCCTGTGGAGCACAGTTGCAGAAAAATGGGAAATCAAAACTAAAACAACAAGAAAGTAACATTGTAATGAGTTGTTTTTGATATTATTACTGAAATTTTATTTGTAACTTTTACAGCACTCGTAACTGGGGAAAGTAATATTTTTACACTAACACGTTACTGCAATAATCTTAGTAACTAGTAACTAAGATAGTATTTGTTACTAGTAATGCATTACTAGTAACATGTTACAGCCAGCACTGGACTCTGAAATATGCCTCAATATTAGGTTTTATTGTTTAGATCAGGGGTGCCCAAAGTGGGGCCCGCGGGCCAAGCCTGGCCCGCAGAACATTTGTTTTGGCCCGCGGGGACATTTCTTGGCCCCCCACAATTTATTATGCCACCCCAGTTGTCAGGTCAAGCAGCTCCCAGCTCAGCTCGCAA